CTTAGGGCCTTGCTAAGTTGCTGGCCTTGAACTTGTGATCCTCCTGCCTCAGCCTCCTGAGTCTCTGGTATTACAGGCATGCACCGCAGTGTCTGGCTATCCTTTAGATTTACCTGGTGTTTGGACAATCCCTACCAAAAATACAGACTGTCTTTCCTTTATACTGGATGTTCAGAGCAGAGGAGGCAGGATTTGGAGCACAATGCTGTTCTTGCTTTCTCTCTTCTGAAATTGCCTCTGGTTATCTCCTGGGTACCTCATTCCCTGAGGCTAGGAAAAGGCCCTAAGGAGGGAGCACTGCTGCTGGAGATGAAGCTCACTTTTGTGGCAGTTCAGCATTGAAGCAGGTGCCTTCCCCAGGTTTACCCTTCATCATCCTCAGTACGCCTATCACCCCCATTTCAGAAAAGTGTAATGGAAGCATTTCATATATGAATACAGTTAAAAACCTAAACTATCTTCCAACTGTAGTGAATAAGTTAAATAGAAAAATCTTTAATTTTTTTAAATTATCATTGTATAGTTGTACCTTAAAAATATTGAGTGTAAGTAGTTACAAGTAAGTCAGAATCAATTCAGTATTCATGGCCCAATATGTTTACTTCTTAGGGATTCTGTTTTTTAAATTGTATGGCTCTTCTAGATATATTTATAAGTTCTCACCTAATTTTAACCCGTTAGCACCATTAAGGAAATGTATTGGCTGGCATAAGCACTAATTGTGGTTATGATAAACATTATATAGTTTATTCATTTGTCTGAAATTTTAAGTAGATTTTTTCCTACTCTCATAGAATTGCTTATAATCCTTCACCCTGGGGCAAAAGACTCAGGAAAGGAGGGGAGGTAATAAAAAGAAATAAAATTGTATGCAAGATTGGAAGTTTTACTTTGGGGAGCCTGTGAGACTAGTCCTTTAAGTAGATCTAGTTATGACTGGAATTTGCTTGACTTTGGGTTAATCACCTGCCCATTACTGCCACCAGCTGTAAATTAATGACAGGGTCTGCAAAGATTCCTGAATATACACTGAATGGAGCAGCATGCCCTGAGGAATAGTGAGAAGAAAGATGCCACCTGTGCATATGTATAGTATGTGTGTTTAATTTGTTTTTGCTACTGTGACGCTGTTTGTGTAGTTGTTCACCTGCTTTTGTGTTCAGTGATCTCCTTGGACTGCCACAACTCTGGTATCTCAGTGGGCAGGCACATTGATGGCAGTGGAAAGTCCTTGAGATTAGCACTTTTTCTAAAGTAGAAACTCAGAGTGAACTCTATTAAAGAATAGTTTTTTCTGTTATTTAAATGTTAGAGACTCTTGGTGCTCTTGCTTTTTGTTGTGCTTGGAGATAAGAATTTTCACAGCACAGTGGAGAGAAAAGGTGGTTGTTCTCCTTAGGGACAAGAAAAGTTCTCACCTATCACTTCCTTTGGGAAGCATTTTGTTGCTCAAAGGTAGCAACAAAATGTGTGCTGATACACAAGTCTTAGGTTCGCATTTTATTATATGACAGTAGGTTAATGTGAAGAATACTATGTTATGAAAGTATTTCATAATATTCTAACAGATGCTGCTAGTATAATAGCCTAATGTAACAAATGCACCAAATGTGTTCAAGCATGTTTTTGACACTATTTTCATAAGTGATGATATATCCTAATTGAAACTTACTAAAATTATGTTTTCTCCTCCAACTGTCATGAAAACATACCAAACTTGGTGTTTTGTGTACCCATGATTTAGGAATATAAAATGTATATTCCTGTGGCTTTCCTCTCTGAGATTTAGAGTTAGATTTGAATATATGAGATATTATTCTTCTGAAGATTAATCCATTGAACTAATTCAGTCTCTACATATATGTTAATTCTCCATCATCACTTATATAGCCAATAACAGATTTAAACTTGAAAATTTATGTGAAACATTGTTATAAGCAGTAGTGATATAGCCTCTTTGTTTTCTTTCTGACTGGTGGAATGAATACCTTTATGAATCTTCAAAGGAAATTCTAAATATTTATTTTACCATTGTATGTTTATTTGTGCATGTTATGTCCTTGTATCATATAATTCTTTTCTTAAACCATTTTTTCCTGTGAAACCCAATACACATTAGAAACATGGAAATAATAGAAATTGTACTACCCATTTATCGCAAATTAACTAGCATCCACATTAAGGAATTAAAAAATACCTAGTACATCCAGAAATCTCTGTCATGCCCTTCCCAGTTATTTTACCTTCTCTCCCACCGCTAGAGTTAACAATAATTTTGACTTTAATATTAATCGTTTTCTTGCTTTTCTTTATCTTTTGCCACCTATTCACACTTCTGGAACACTATAGTTTATTTTGCCTAGTTGTTTTTGTTGTTGTTTGGTTTTGGGTTTTTGTTGCTGCTGTTGTTGTTTTGAAATTTATATAAATGGAATTTGCTGCTAGGATGTATCCATCTGAACCCACCCTTTTTCATTCAGTTACATTTGTAAATATATAATGGTTTTCATGAACTTACCACAAATTATCTGTTGTATTGTTTGGGTCCAGCATGAGCAGTGCTTCTGTGGAAATTCTTTCATGTCTCTTTGATGAACATTGGGTATATTTCTGAGCAGTATAGATGTAGGTGTGAAATTGCCAAGCCATAGGTATGTGTATTTTTGACATTTTTAAAAGCAGTATCACTTTACACTCCCACCAGGGAATTATGATAGTTCTATCTCTCTTCATCCTCACTACACTTGGTATCCTTTTAGCCCATCTGTTTTTTTGTATTACCTCATGGTTTTAATTTCCATTTCCCTGATTACTAATGAAGTCAAGCAAATGCAAAGAAGCCTGTTGAGATTTTTATTAGAATAACATTTAACCTATAGATCAGTATGGAGAGAATGTTACAAAACTCAATTAATATATTAATTTATCTATATAGCACTTTTCAATTTCTCTCAGTAAAATTCATGACTTTCTGCTTAGAGGCTTGCATATCATTTGTTCCATTCATTCTTAGATATTTTATACTTCTATGCTATAATAAATGCTATTGGGAGGGGGAAGTTGCTGGGGATTGAACCCAGGGCCTTGTGCATGTGAGACAAGCACTCTACCAACTGAGCTATATCCCCAGCCCTATAATAAATACTATATTGGTAAACTTGTTTTTAGATTTGTTGCTGACATATAGTAATACATACATGAATTTTTAAATTTTACCTTTGTACGTAGTTTCAATTCTTCTTTAGATTTGTTTAGATTTGCTGTATACATAATGATATGTTCTCTACATAAGTACAGTTTTATCTGCTTCCCTTCCAAATTATGACACTTTTAATTTCATCTTCTTGTCTTTAGTAAGACTAGGACTTTCACTGGGTGGGATCTCCACTACAGTGTGACTAGGAATGGTGATAGCAGTTTCGAAAGGAAATATATATATTTTTTTTAAAGAGAGTGAGACACAGAGAGAGAGAGAGAGAGAGAGAATTTTAACATTTATTTTTTAGTTTTCGGCGGACACAACATCTTTGTTTGTATGTGGTGCTGAGGATCGAACCCAGGCCACTCGCATGCGAGGCGAGCGCACTACCACTTGAGCCACATCCCCAGCCCGAGAAAATATTTTTTTCTGTTTCAAAGGGGAAATCATTTTTAGTATGGTATTGCATATTGCTGAATTTGGTTTGCTAATAGTTTGGTTAGCATTTTTTGAATCTACTCTCATGAAACAAAATCCTGTAATTCTTTTCTTTTTATGTCCTTGATAGGCTTTGGTTTTAAGGTTTGCTAGATTCTTAATGGAAGTTGAGCAGTGTTTTTTCTTCACTCCCTGGAAGAGTTCGTGGAAAACTAGCATTATTTTTTTTATAATTTTTTTATCTTATTTTAATTTTTATTTATTTATTTGTTTTTGTAGTTGTAAATGAACAGGATGCCTTTATTTTGTTTATTTTTATGTGTTGCTGGGGATCGAACCCAGTGCCTCACACCAGTTAGACAAGTGCTCTGCCAACTACAGACCAGCCCAAAAACTAGTATTATTAATTGAAATTCACTAGTGAAGCCATCTGGGCTAAAGTTTTTTGCATTTGCGTGTGTCCCTTTTTGCTATAGTTTTCTATAAGTGCGTTCAGGACTCAAATTTCAGACTTATTGGAAGAAATCTGTTCATACTGTCTTTTTTTAAAAAATATTTTTAGTTGTAGTTGGGCACACTTCCTTCCTTCCTTCCTTCCTTCCTTCCTTCCTTCCTTCCTTCCTTCCCTCCCTCCCTCCCTCTCTCCCTCCCTCCCTCTTTCTAGTTGTGGCTAGTTTGGCTTTCTGTGTTTTCAGCCCAGGTTATGAAATGCATGCAAATTTGGAATTATTTTATCTTCTTGGTAAAGTGAATGCTTTATCATTATTAAGTATACTATTTCACCTCCAGTATGTTATTGCCTTGAAGTCACCCTGATAAAACTAATGTAGCTACATCAATTTCCTTTTGGTTGTTATATGCATGGTAAACTTTATCACCTTTTTAACTTTTGCATATATGTATGTTGGCTTATAAATAGTAGATCGCTTTGTTTACTGAAACTGTGCCAATCTTTGTCTTTAAAGGCACAATTAAGACATTTAATTTAATATAATTGAATCTAAATTGGTGCAGTTTTTTAAGGTTGAAAACTTTTTAGGCAATATTTCTTCATATTCCTAAAATAGTTTAGTAATGTATATAAACTTAAATTTATCTTCTTTGATATATACATAAAGAGATAGAAGTTTATGAAACTTTATCATATTCTATTACTTCTTTGACTCCTATAAAATGAAGAAAGATCTAGCAACTAAAATATCTAAGGACAATCTTTTTTAATCTAGTGTTTGGGGAGTTCGGTTTGCAACTCTTGTCTTTATCATGATTTACCTACCTTATTCCAATAAGCGTGATGTAACAATATATCTCTAATAAGTCTTTCTTGAAAAAATACTATAAAAAATTTCATTTTTATTAACAGGGTTGTGACTCCCAAGTGAGCATGTCAGAAATGTCCTGTAGTGAAAGTACATCGTCTTGTCAATCTCTTGAACATGGTTCAGTTCCAGAAATTCTCATTGGCCTGCTTTATAATGCCACAACTGGAAGATTATCAGCAGAAGTGATAAAAGGCAGCCACTTCAAAAACTTGGCAGCGAACAGACCACCCAGTGAGTGAAAAAAAATTTTAATTGTAACATTTTCCGCACTTATGGGACTCTCAGCATTAGGGGCTTCAATCCTATCATTTTAGTCTTAACCAATCAAAATGAAATGGTGAATCATCAGCTAATCTGTTTCATGTTTTCTATTTCCAGTCATTTGGGAAGTAGAAAAAATTTGAAATTCAAAATATTGTGTGGTGATAGGAATTTTAATTTTTCACAGTGTCTACAGAATAAATTATCCCTATCATAGCCATTATCTTTTGATGGAAAAAGTTACAGGGTTTTTAAAAGTGAGTAATATTCATAAGTATGAATAGAAATGTGTACAGTGTTGTTAACTAAGAAGTAAAATTGTTTTCTATCTACATATAGTGCTTTGAACTAATGTATTTACTTCTATATTTCCCCTTCTTTTTTCCTTAACAATGTAAGAGGAACTGTTTCTTTAGATTTTCTTCTCATTTAAAAGTATAGGGGGCCAAGGGTGTAGCTCAGTGGTAGAACTTATGCTTAGCATGTGCAAGGCTTAGATTCACTACTCAGCACCACAAAAAAAAAATAAAAGTTTAAAAAAAATTAATTATAAACCAGTACTGCCAACAGTCTTTTCTTGGATGGAATGCGCTTTACCTTTACCAGACAAACAGAATAAGAAAGTTTGGAGGTTGATCCTAGATGGTCAGAAGTGAGAGCTAACAACATACCTCTGCCCTGTGTGCCTCTCAGCTTCTCTTACCTTCAATTCAAGGGGGTGGAGATAGATTATAGAAGCATAAAGAAATTGTCTTGCAATTTTAATCCAAAACTTTTTGTTGACAGCTATGGGAAGTATACTGGGAACAGAGCAACTTCATTGTATATTTCTCTAAAATTAAAGCTGTTGATGCCCTGAACTAAAAATTGGAAAGAAAATCTTGAATAAAAACACCTCCTTAAATTTACCTAAAGGTTTCATAAAGACTTGTCTTTTACTCCAGGTATCAAGCAGTTATTAAAGCACCCTTGAATTAAATTAACTTGACTTCTCCGTGTCAAAAAAAAATCATTATTCAATTAAGGTCAAAAGTCATAAAAATATATTTGGTCTGCCCATAGTAATGTTAAAGATCATAGAATCCATCTATCCCTGAATTATAAGTCTGAAGGCCAAAATTGTATTCACATTTCTACCTTAGACAAATGACCAAGCTCTCTTAAGTCTGTTTCTTTATAGGAAAAGCTAAGGCTGTGTTTCTCAGAGTAATTGTGAGATCCAGATCTGACAAATGTGCATAAAAGGGTAGAATTAGTATTATCCAGTTTTTTATTTGAAAGGAAATATTCAGTAGGAGGAAAGAAGCCAATCCTAGCATAAACAGACTGGCAAGTGTGACTCAGTTATCTTCATTCATACACACTGTGAATGCAAATTAAAATGGCTGGAAAGATAAACTATAGAATAAGACTTGTAGATAAAATGAAGGATAGTGAGGCAAGACAACCTCAAGAGTGCACACTCTATGTAAATATTCTAATTTAAAGATGTTTTAACATAGTATCAGATATAACACCATTTGGGGTCACATTGAGCCACAAGTAATCAATGTGTTATTCATAGTTTAGCTAATAGTTTAATAATTTTTTGACAGATAATTAACTGGAGATGTTTTAAAAGTAGCAGAATTAAATGGTTTTCTGATAGAAATAGAAAACGGAACTAAAAAGGAATCAGAGCTCAAAATGATCTTAAGGGCAAGATTGGATAGTAAAATTAAGAAAGATTAGCAACCACTACATGGAGTTGGTTTTTCTGGTTTAAGAGTGGATGATAACAATTGTCATTGTTTTGGAGTTAGTTTTTCAGCATAAGGTTGATTATGGTATTAGCTGAGAGGTAACTAATAAGCAAATATAAGTCAATTTTTAAAATAATTATATGAAAGTAGAGTATTTATAAAGGAGATGTAAGATATTTAAAAAGTGATATGCAAGACAATTCTATCTGTTTGTCCTAAACTCTACATATTATATAAATTATAGCCCTTCACATATACCTAGATTCTAAACCTTGAATTGTGTTGTAGACTGAATAATCCCAATTTAATCCAAAGAAATAGCAATATTCAAGAGCAAAAGCTGTGATAACTGTATATTATTTGCATAACTTAGTTTTATATTATGTTGGAGTAATAGATCTATTTCAAATATTAATATTGCATGGATAAACTTAAAATTTAGCATAATAATAATGATCCTATAATGACTTTTATTCAGTCTTTTATAGTCTAATAATTTGCATGATTTAATGTTCAATGTGCTTTAGACCAAGTTATCATTATAAAGATGTCCCCCTTTAAAATAGTGTAATTTTTATTTAAGATTACACAATGACCTTAAAATTTTTCATTCCATAAAATTTACCCAACAACCCTTTTGTTCAGCCCTCTACCTGAATTTAAATGCTAAAGTTTTGTGTTTTTCCACTCCAGTGAACAGTGTTTCCTCTTTAATTCTGACCTTTGACCCTCTTTCACCCAACGATTGACATCTGGTCATTATTTCTTTTACTGCTTTCCACCCCCTGTTGTCAGATGGACTGTTCTGTTGTCTAAAACACTTGATAGGTGGACAGGTTTATATAATCCGAGGTGAGTTCTTGTAGAGGCTAATTGGATGTTGTCTTTTCATGCAAAAACAAAATACCCTAAAACTTGCCAGCAGTGAAGCTGTCCACCATGTTGGTTTCTGAAAAAATGCACATTTATTATCTGTGATACTTTAAATAAAACTAACTTAGAATTTATCTCTGATTATGGATGATGGTATTCAGAGTATCAATAAAACAAGCCAAACTTTTTAAATAAAAGTTTTTATTTTTCTGTTTATTTGTATTTTGAATTGTATAACAGAAATAGCTATTTCATGAGAAATATTGCAATTGTCTTTGAAATTAATTGAAATTTTGATATGAAGTACACATGATGGATCAACATGCTGAAGATCATTTGCATGAGTCTAAAGAACTTGAAACATAATCTTTTAACGAGAGGACTTATCTTTGATTTAATCAGACAATGAAGTGTTATTTTTCACTTTGTACACTAACATCCCATCAGTTTTTTTTATGATTCATGAAAATAGTAAGATATCATACTTAAAATTTCACTTTGAATTGTATCTAAAAGAAACCCTATACTATTTATTTTAACTACTCAAAAAAAAAAAAAGAAGAAGAAGCACATTAAATGTATCCTTGCATGAAACCAGGAAAGTTTTACTTGGTTTGCTAAACTTTGAACCCTTAATGCATTTGGCTTTATTATGACCCATAAATGTTTTAAAATATATTTAAAAACCACATCCATGCAGAGATTTTTTTTGACATTTCATCCTAAGCTGTTTTGATGTCATCTTTGCATTCTTGTCTTCCTCTTTTCCTCTTCACCATTTGCCTTCATTTCTATTTGTTTGTTGATTCTTATTCTCTGAAAACACAGTGGAATGCTTTACAGTGTTGTGGCTAATTGAGCTTGCTAAGTGTTTATTAATGCCATGATGTCCTGCTTAGTGAAGCTAAATGGGAATGGGAATGGGCAGGGGAGGTAGTGGGATGTCACAGATGGGATGGGAGGGTGGAGGAAGGATTATGAGGTATACCTTTAAATTCTATTATGTAGAAATAGAGAGGTTAAGATATTATTACTCCCAAGATATTTTCAGACTACTCAGCATTCTCTGTACTTGTCACATTTTATAAGTATCTCTATCAAAGTGGATTGGTTGAATTTCTTAAACATGGTATACACCATATCCTTATAAAGTATAAATACTGAATATTCTCAGCACTTGTTATAAGGAAATTGTTCCAAGTTCGTTGCAAATGATATTTGTATTATGTCGGTTTTTTTCTTTAGATACATATGTTAAGTTAACTCTACTGAATTCCATGGGTCAAGAGATGTCCAAATGCAAGACATCCATCCGCAGAGGGCAGCCAAATCCAGTATACAAGGAAACTTTTGTATTTCAAGTGGCCCTATTTCAACTTTCTGATGTGACACTTATACTATCTGTGTATAACAAACGCAGCATGAAAAGAAAAGAAATGATAGGCTGGATTTCTTTAGGTCTGAACAGCTCCGGAGAAGAGGAACTCAATCACTGGACTGAAATGAAGGAGTCGAAAGGACAGCAAGTATGTAGATGGCATGCATTACTAGAGTCGTGATGAAGAGGATGAACGAGTGGTCAGTCAAAGGCAGAATTTATTTCTTATTACAACACTGCTGTTTTTACCTGGTCACCATGAAAAGAGCTATTCTTTGAAGAATAATATTCAACTCTACCAAAATTATTTAGATGCGTGGAAAGATCATCTAATACTGACATAAATAAAGAAAAGATGTGTCTCTTGTAAAGCTTGTCTGGAAACTGAGAAACTGACATCATTAATGTTAAACTAATGGTCCTCCAGAGATTTAAAAATATGCTTTTGATTTGAAGTTACTTTTACTTTAGCAAAAGAGCCAGTAATTTTATGGAAGATTATAAGTGATTTTTAAAAATCAGAATTTTAGTTGCAACACTATTTTAGTATCACCCTACATATTACCTAAAACATTTTAAATGGCCAATCTTGGTGTTTGTAATGTTATTTAATATAAAAAAATAGTTCTCCAGCACTATCACAAGTCATATTTACTAGTGAAGGGTTTCAATCACATTTAAAATTATTTTGTCTCAGACGTGTTCTTTGTGCCCTTAGTTTCATTGTGCCTTGGTTCTTCTCCATAGCACTAAATCTAAGTGCAAGCAAGTATTCATTTTCACAAAAGAATTTTGAAGCTTTGTTGTTTTTCAAAAGTTTATTTCTTTATTTGCCTTTGCTTTTGCCTGATCCAAAGAGACCAAGTCATGTTCTGGTCCCTTGCAAGCCTTCTAGACAGGTTGTACTGTAGAACTATGTAACTTTCTGTTGAAAGCACTTCCTGTATTCTTGTATTCCAATGTAGGAAGCCAATAGAACAGGACTTTATTTTAGAATTTCTTTCAGTGATTGACTCTTTACAATTGTAGTAATGTGAAAAACTTTTTTTTACAAACTGAAAAATAAGCTGAGCTGTTGGAAATTGAATGCGATTCAAGTTAAAGAAAAATTTAATTGTCTGCTCTGAGTATTTAGTAAGTAACACTGCATAAGGCAGGTAGCATTCAAAATAAGAAACTCTTCTCTGTCGCCCTCACTTCAGTTTATATGGTGATGTAAAGACTATCCTGTTCAGTTTGATTCAGAACATCAAGTTAAAAACAGTTCTGAGATTCCTTATGAAGTTTCTAGTGACTTGTGACTAGATTTTATGAAATTTACAGATAACGTTCTTCAACGTGATGTCATCTTGTGCCTTTCATGTAAGTTCAATTTGCTCATACAGCTTGGAAGTTGTATTTGCAAAATTAGGCCTTCGATTTTTTATAAATATAAAGATTCCTCAGAACAGTGTCACAAGATCTTTATTTCCTCTGACGTATGTAAAAGTTATACAATGTACTAATTTTTTTTAAATGGCAAGGCACTTTTATTTGTTGTTTTTATATTTAGGAACTCTGAATAATCAAGAATATTATAAGCTATTTTCTTTTCAATTTTGCTTCTTATCTAACATATAATTTATGCATATACTTTATTAAATAGAGTATGTTTTGTATATATGAAAAATTTTTTCTTTCTCATTTTTAGTAAAGCTAGACAAAAGTGTACTATTTACCAATTACTAAAAAGCAGAATATCATTGTTCCTAGTCCCCACTAAGTACAATATGTTATTGTAAGCTAGAACTCATTATTACCATAATGAAACCATGCATAGATATTACTACTTCAGCTTGGCTGTACTGAAAGGCCTTAAAAAAGATTTTTAAAAACCCATGAATTCATATTTTTTAGTTTAAAAAAGGCAGCTCTGTGCTTTAATACTTGTGAGTTATAAGAAAAAATGCAAATGAGCAACATGGGTTTTAAGAATATGTATTACAGAGTTGCATTAAAGAAAAAATTCATTCTTTGTTACATCAGTGCACTTTTTTCCAGGATTTTTTAAATAAATGAGTTACAGTTAGAACATGAGTTGAATGGCAAAATACCTCATTTAAGTATTTTCATCAACAATGCAAGAAAAGTTTGAAGGGGGATGTAGATTTTACTGAGAAATTAGATTTAGGCATTTGATGTTACAGTTATCTTTCCTGTCTTTGAAACAACTGTCTTTGTTGTTAACACCTGGTATCTTTCTAATAAAGAGAGTTGTCAGTCTTATATGTAGCTGTAACAAAGCTTAATCAAACATATTAATAAGGCCAGTTTGGTGCTTTCACCTTTAGTAAGAAAAAGATAACTGTTATTTGTTAAATCTACCTTTCTTCAGACAGAATTGTGTGTGTGATCTGATATCTCTTTAGAGGTTTATCTAGTATAAGTATCAAATCTTATGTAGCCCAAAAACTAATCAACATTTTTGTAAATTTCAGGGAGGACCCTCCTCCACCCCAGCTGCCAAGTCCTCAAAGATAATAAGTTATCTGTATGTGTGTCAATACATACACACATGCCTACACTCACACACAACATACATATGTACACATATATGTATTTATAATGGTGAAGGTGTCCTGGCTTTTTCAGACTACTGAATAGAAAAATATTCCTCAAATTTATGGATTGTTTTTCTCCTTTATATAAATTACTAGGTCTTATATTTGGTTTTGAGGGCTATTTGGTACCATTCTCCACCATACATAGCAAAATACACATCTTTTCTTCTTGTGGCTTGATACAACTTAGAATAATTACTCCCCCAAAATTGTCTATTTTTTTCCAAAAAGGATTAGAGTTCAAGAGATGCACTTCACTGTGCTTCATCTAACATACAAGACAGTACTACTACTTTTTTTGTTTACTTGAATTCACATGAAAGCTTCAAGGCAAAATTTTATATCTCAGTAATTATAGCAAATAGGTGCCCACTGGTGGGCAGCAGGTGTTGACTCAGAAACTTGAGAAAGACAGTCGACTTTCTTGTTGTTCTGCTAAAATCCCCTAAGCTTCATAATTAAATGAGCTAGTCCAAATATGAAGTTGACCAGCATTTATGGCAGCTCCTGAAATCACACTATCCCAAAGGAACTACAAAATGTAGTAGTTTATTATTGCCCGGAAACAAAGCATATTTCAAATCAGTGAAGAATTTGTTTAGTATAATATCATCTTCCCTTTCAGAAGCCTTATTCTGTAATCTGTGTTCCCAGTACTGTTCAATTTGCTTGAAATCCACTTGTACATTATCTTATCATGTGTTCAGTGAATTCTTGATAGTATAGTATTGCCTGACAAAAATAATATATTAGACCACAATTTAAGAAAAGAAAACCCAATGAGAAGATATCTAAAGTATCCTGATTAATATACACATGATCTCCCAGTCTCTCAAATAAATTAAAAGTATAGGTAGGCTATTTAAAGTTTGAATCTTAGATGACATAAAAACAGTAATTGTGAGCACATTTTTTTTCCATTTCATTATTTGGATATGAATAGAAATGATACAAATTTGTTTGCATGTAATTACCATTTACTTATATAGATGAGATAATTCAGAGAAATTTACATTGATATTTATAATTCACAAGTTTTCTTATTTTTTTCCGTTCACTGCCCCCAGTTCATCTATGACTTACATTGGAAGTAGCCATCAATATCAATATCCTTATCACCAACCATACTTAATATTGAGCACAAGGTTAAGCATGCTGTAAAGCATTTTCTTTTTTTCCCCACATTTTTATTGGTGCATTATAGTTGGTACATACTGATAGTATTTGTGGTTACATATTTGTATGTGTATATAATACACAATATAAACATAATTTGGCCAGTATCACTCCCCAAAACTTCACCCCTCCCTCCATGCCTTCCATCCCTTGGTCCCTTTCCTCCACTGATCTTCCTTTGATTTCC